CTGATGATGGTGTTGATTACGATGCTGCTGCGGGTGATGATGATGGAGATGATGATGGTGATGATGGTGATGTGATGGTCATGGTGATGGTAATGGTGATGGTGATGGTGATGATGGGTAATTATGGTGGTTATAGTGATGGTGATATTGGTGATGATTGACGATGATAGGGGATGGTAATACTGGGGATGCTGATGCTGCCGATGCTGAGGCTGAGGCTGATGATGATGCATGGAGATGATGATGATGATGATGATGATGATGATGATGCTGATGATGATGATGATGATGATGATGATGAGGAGGAGGAGGAGGAGGAGGAGGAGGAGGAGGAGGAGGAGGCGGAGGAGCAGCAGTAGGAGGAGCAGGAGGAGCAGCTGGAGGTGGAGGAAGTGGCTTGCGTTGCAGTCGACGCGGAGTCACCCTCCCAGCATGCGCCCCAGACCACCCTCTCAGGGCGGGGTGTGGGGAGGGAGGTCAGAGGGGGGGGGGGGGGCAGAGGCCAGATCTTCTGCCTTTCCACCTCCTACTTCTCCTGCCTCGCTCAGGGTCCCGACCTCCTTGTCGTCCTCCCTCGTCCCCCCTCCCCCTCCCGAGCTTCCCCCTCTCAAGGCGCTAGAGATTGCGAAGGCCTTACGGCCAGTGCAGCCGACCCTGGAAGAAGACCCCCAAGACGAAGGTGACAGCCGGAGTTTTTCGGGAAGGTTGGAACCAGACGCCCAGAAGAGTTCCCCAGAAGACCCATGAGGCTCCCAATAAGCGTATGATGAAGTCATCCTCCTCGTCCCCCCTCCCCCTCCTGAGCTTCTCCCCTCTCAAGGCGCCGAGAGATTCTGCTCGCGCTCGCGGCTGAGAGCTTTTGGCTGTAGGCGAGGGCGGCGGATGCCGGCGAAAGGCCAGCGGAAGCCGGCGGAAGCAAACGATGCGCCCCCAAGTGATGACACCGCTTTTGGGTTCAGGGTTTCCAGAGAGGCCCATGTGACGATGTGGACTCGCTGGATCTGGTAATAGATTTCGCCAGGTTGGTGACCAAAGCCTGGCTGATTTGATGCGGCTGGATGCCGCTCTTCCCGGTGACGACAGCTGAACGCTTGCCTGCGATCAGCTGCGGCTTCGTCCCCTTCTTGAGCATCCGCACGCGTAGCTGCTCCTCCTCCACGATGTTGACCTCGGGTCCAGGACTGGCGTCTGTGATGCCATCAGGTCCCTGGTCGTAGCCCAGAGTCACGGACGTACCGAAAACGCAGTCCGAGCAGAACCCCTGGTGGTTGCAGACCTCGTAGGCCTTCCCGCCGCAGGCGATGCAGTCCTGCAGCGGCTCGGTCACGCACGTCGTGGGGGAGGTGATCTGCGGCAGCGTCGCCAACGTGAGACTCGGAGCTGGCGCTGCGGTGGAGCAGCAAGCCAAAGCTGAGGCCACGGCAGACAAAATCCTTGACCCCTTCGGTCGACGAGGCTGAAGTCGCCTCGGGACGTTCAGCTCCTTCTTCGTGACGAGCCTGTTAAGCGTATCAACCAGCGTGCCGGTCTTGATCGTAGCGTTGACCGTAGGTTCGTCGCTCACCTTCGGTCGGCTGGGTGGCTTGGCAGGTCGCTCCATGCCAGCGTCCTTGATGGCCTGCCAGTCCTCTGGCTGCAACTTGATCGCAGGGTGGCCCGCGGCGCTCGTCATGAGCTTCTGGGTGGAGTTCCCGATGCGGATCTGGCCCTTCCAGAGAGAGATGTCGATCTTGGAAATCTGTATGAAGTCGCGGCCAATGAGCAGGCCGAGCGTGGGGCTGTCCACGACGCTGAACACGATGCGGCCGGCCTTGCCGCAGAGCACGAGCGGCGCGGTGACGCGCAGCTTGCTCGGGAGGGCGCCTCCGTTGCCGAACCTGTAGACTTCGTCCTCGGGTTCCTCGAGGATCTGGTCGGCGAGGCCCATCCTGGTGAGGATGTCCTTGTAGTTGTCGTACCACTTACTGCCCGAAACGCAGAAAAGGCAGGCGGTATCCACCACGCCGACGCCTTCGTCCGTGGGCTTCCCGTTACCGATCGCAACGTTCACGTTCGGCAGGTGGTGAATCAGCCGCTCTGAGACGCAGGCCTCAGGTGGCGGCGACACAGGTCCCTGCGGGTGAAGAGCAATTTCCTCGTCAGCGAACTGGACCTGCTCGGTGATGTGCGCCTGGCGCTGCGGGCGACCTCCTCGGCCCCCCCGTCCACCGCCCTTGGACTTGCCGTCCTTGGGCGCGAACTTGCGAGCACCAGGCGCGGGACGCTCCTTATCTCCTGTCCAGTGCCCGGTCTCGCCGCAGTCCCAGCACTGCGACGTCTTCTTGCGCTGGTCGACCCGGTTCTGGAGCTTAGCCGGGCGGCGAGACGGTGCGGACTTGTTCGACTTGCCGCGGCCCTTCGGGGCCTCCCGGGCTGACCTGATGGTGGCCATGGCCTCGGGAATGGCGGCAAGCTCCGCCGCGGCGGCCTCGACCTTGGCAGAGTCGTCGCCGTCGAACAGCTCGGAGATGTCCACGTTGGGGGACTCGAGCTCGGCGCCTAAAGCCTCGAGCTCCTGACGAACGAGGCTCTTCGTCGTCCTCGTCGGCGGGCTCGTCGACGACGTTGGTAGATCGCCCTCCGCGACTGGAGGGAGCGCTGCTGCGCCAGCCACCACGGGGGCGCGACTGGTTGCTCAACGACCTCGAGGGCGGCGGGGCGCGGCGCTCGGAGCTGTGGATGTCTGGAAGCATCCGCACCGGCAGTCCACGGATGCGCTGGTAGCCGTAGTGTTCGTCGGGCAAGTTGCCCACGACGCGCTCCGGTGGGAAGACGAAATATTGCAAGTTGTTCCTGGCCGCGCACGGCTGCGCCTACGTTGCGACGCCACCTCGACGGAACGCCCCCGCCCCCTACATTTCAATGTTGGCATCGAGCGAGCACCCAAAGTCCGGGAGGACAAAATAGTGCAAGTCAACATTGAAATGCGGGGGAAGGGGAGCTCCTCGGATATCGATGGAGCATGATCAAAGTTGACACGCTGTTTCTCTGAACGATCGTATAACTTGCGATATTTTGTCCGCCCACTGTCTCGGCGCTCGGCCGTGAGCCCGGCGTTACGCAGCAGGAACCATCCCGCTACGTCGTCCAGCGCGTCGAGGTCCACCTCGTTCTCACGCAGCTGCTGCAGACCCGTCTCGAAGCGGATGAGCCAGTCCGTCATTCGTTCACCTCGACGTCGGCGATGCTGCGTAGATTCGAAAAACTTCTCGAGGGTCTCGCCTTTCTGCACGGGCTTCTGCTGACCCAGGTTTGCCTCCAAATGCTGTAAAACAGTCTCGATGCCGACCTGATTCCTTTGGCGTTTCTTCTCGTCGGCGTCCTCGATGTGTGCTGCAGCTGCGGGGTGCAGCTGCTCCTCCGTCATATTCAATGTTGCTGTTCTGGCTGTCCCGCTGAGCCTAAGCACAAGCTTCGATGCGAGGCTCTGTGTGACTGAGAGGTTCTCGCTGAGCTTTCATAGCTTCACCTCCTGCTTGTAGTCTTACCACTTTGAGGGATCTCCATTCCATGTCGGTATGACTGACTGTCCGAAATTACGAGAAATGTCCGTCATCTTTGCGAAAAGTGAGTCGGAGCAAGAGAAGTCGAACTCGGCAGCGTTGCCGATGTTCTGAGAGTAAAGGAAATCGAACTCGGCGGCGTCGATGATGTTCTGATAGCAGAAGAAATCGAACTCGGCGGCGTCGCTGATGTTCTGAGAGTAAAAGAAATCGAACTTGGCGGCTTCGCTGAAGTTCTGGAGGTATGTGGAATTTGACTCGGCGGCTTCGCCGAAGGTCTGGGAGTATGTGGACTTGAAGTCGGTGGCTTCGCTGAAGTTCTGGGAGTATGTGCAGACGTATGTGACATTGAACTCGGCGGCTTCGCTGAAGTTCTGGGAGTATGTGCAGACGTATGTGCTGGCGTCGCTGGCGTGGGAGTTAGCGTTGAAAGCGTAGTAGGCGTTGCTGCTAGCGTCGCTGACGCTGGCGTGGGAGTTGGCCGGGTAGGCGTAGTAGGCGTTGCTGTCGGTGCTAGCGTCGCGGACGCTGGCGTGTGTGCTGCGCAGCAGCTGGGTGATGATCACCAGGAAGACGCTGGTCTTCGATTCCAATGGACGTGTCGCAGACGCCGTCATTGCTATATGGACGGCCCAAAGGCCGGGGCAGCGAGCACAGCTCCAAGCTACCACTGCGATGTGGAAAATTATCGCTGATAGTGTTTTCTCGAACTCTGCGCGGCAGAGATCATAGCTCAATTAGCCAAGGGCCCTATTTTGAGAAAAAATGGTTGCGGCAGAGTGGGCATACGAGACAGAGCGGAAGCGAGGCGGAAGAGGGCGAGTCTTCTAGAATCACACTATGTTGTTGCGATGTTGCCCCGTCAATTTGGTGGTGGTGGCTCTCTTGTTCATCAGGTGCCTCCTCTGCTATTGTATTCCCTCCTTCTGCGCAGTCTCGCCTCCAAAGTATTGCGTCTTTGAGATTATCATCAACTTCGCCTTGGCCTCACTCGGGTCGTTGGGGCACGTATCAATTGGTCCCGAACGTCCCAAGTGTCCTTGCATTCTTTCCGCCGCCGACATTGCAAAAGCAATCCGGTTCCGCGTATCCCATGCGAGAGCCGACTTGTGTATTGCGCAGTGTTTAGAATGCGCGCCGGTGGTATCTAATTTACAGTTTGCTCTTCCTAGCTCCGTATCTGTCCAAACGGTTTTCACGACCGAGTCTGCCTGGGAATCTTTATGGGCCCACAGATTTGACCAGGCCCTTGATCTTGTGCGGTTTATGAGTCCTGTCCATATCGGCGTCCAGCTTTCCGGCGGTATTCATATCGGCCCTCGTGCCACCACCTGGTTTTGAGATTGCTTCCTGTTGGTAGGGGTTTCGGCCATGACTATAATGTTCCTGGCGTTGCTGATCGCTACATTGTCCTCGTAGTTATTTGGGTTCGTCTCTTAGGCGCCAGTAAGTTGCCTAATTGGGGTTCCCTGTCCTTGTGTTTTCTGGGACGGATATGGAGCCTGTCGTGTACACGTGGGTTTGGTCTGAATGAGCGCGAAGTTCATCCAACAGCTGGGTGAGCAAGTGAAGCTGTTGCTCTTTAACATGATTGTCTTGTGCGCGTTTCGCATTTCACTGTCGAAGTGCCTGGTAGTTTGCTAGCGGGACCGCCCTCCTTCCACGTAGCTTGTGTAGATCATGGTCGGCCGCCTAGCTGGCCAGATGCATTTATTTGATGTGGATTGTGCCTTGGACATTGCATTGGTATGTCGTACCTGCTCCCTTGCTAAACCCTCACTTCTGAAGCATGATTATTGTTGATCCCCCTTCCAGTAACAGGTGTACTTTTCAATTGCAGTGCCCCTCCTGGGCTGGGTCTCCAAACTGTGTTGTTGACCCCCGGTTTACATCAACAACGGCTCCCGCCCTTTTACCCCCTCACAATGTATCAAATAATCGCGCTGCCTCTCTCGGGACGTCCCTGTAATCTACACGAGCCGCGGTCTCGCGTGAGACGTCCTTACAACTTATCCGCGAATCGCTCTCGGCGCTCTGGAATCGCGTTCTCGCTCGAGACTTCCGTCGTAGTTTTCTTTACTCAGGAACCGAGCTCTCGCCCTGAGACTTCCTTGCCACCCTCGCTTGCGAATCCCTCTTGCTACGCCCTCTCATGCTCCAGCTTCTCCCTCCCTCCCTCTTGCGCCCTTCCTTCCTACGTTTCTCCACTCCGTTTCTCCTCGCTCTCGCCCTTATCCATTATGTTCGTCCTTCCTGTTTTAAGTCGCACATGGCATGGAAGAGAGACGTACCCCCCATAGGGCGCACGATCAAGGACGAAGAGGGTGGGCATCGAGGGCTTGGAAGATGCATATTGAATGGCACGCGAGCGTGTGAGACTGAACGGTCTTTAACTGATTGTTGTTGCTGATCGATATGACGAGCGTTAGGTCGTGGATGGCATGATTGCTAGGCTTGTTTGCATATGACTTGGCTTCTTACGGCAGCATACCACTGCATATTACACAGTATGTTGTTGCCAGTGGGGTCTTGCTTTTGTTGTAACCTCAGTTGTCGTAGTTCCTATGTCCACTGCAGCGCTACTTGTGAATCGGGTATCGGTACATTCTGCCAGCACGTGAATTGCCACAGCTGCTTACGATCATTCTCGCCGTTCTGGGCGTAATTCCCGTGGCGACTCTAGGATATTGTTGCGTGTTGGTCCGCGGCGTTGTTGTAGCACTTGTCGGTCAGCCTGCAGAAGTAGTCGGGTTCGTGCCCATCTGAAGCCCAGGCGCCTATACCAGACGGTCGCTTCGGAATGAGCATGTCTAGGTAGCAGGCAGCCGGCCCGCACGTTGATGGCCAGGATGGCCTTCCTCCTCCTGCTCCTCCTTTTTGTTTTCTTATTCCGCATATTAATGCTTCTTCTCCTCACATATCCCTCCCCCTTCATCATATTTTCTCTACCTCCCACATGTTCCTCCCCCTCTTCCTCCCACGCGTGTTCCTGTTTTTCGTTATGTTCCTAATCTCTCTCCCTCCCGCGTCTTTCTCTCATCCTTCTCCTCGTCCCCACAAGGGTCTCCGCCCTACTCCTGCTGCTCCTCCATACCGCCATCGTCACCTCCCCCTCCTCCTCCTCCTCCTCCTCCTCCTCCTCCTCCTCCTCCTCCCCCTCCTCCTCATCCTCCTCCCTCCTCCTCCTCCTCCTCCCCCTCCTCCTCCTCCTCCTCCCCTCCTCCTCCCCTCCTCGCCTCCTCCCCCCTCCTCCTCCTCCTCCTCCTTCTCCTCCTCCTCCCGCCCCTCCTCCTCCTCCTCCTCCCTCCTCCTCCTCCTCCTCCCTCCTCCTCCTCCTCCTCCTCCTCCTCCTCCTCCTCCTCCTCTCTCCTCCTCCTCCTTCTCCTTCTCCCCCCCCCTTCCCCTCCTCCTCCTCCCCTCCCTCTCCTCCTCCTTCTCCTTCTCCTGCTCCTCCTCCTCCCCCTCCTCCTCTCCTCCTCCTCCTCCTCCTCCTCCTCCTCCTCCTCCTCCTCCTCCTCCTCCTCCTCCTCCTCCCCCTCCCCCTCCTCCTACTCCTCCTCCTCCTCCTCCTCCTCCTCCTCCTCCTCCTCCACTCCCGCCTCCGCCCCCCCTCTCTCGCCTCCGCCTCTGGGCCCGCCTCGCGCCCGCCCCCGGCCCAGGCCGTGCGAGTACATGGACAGCACCGCGGGCTTCGCGGCCGGCCTCGCGGCCGTCAGCGCGGTCTCCTCGGGCGCGCCCGCCGCGGGGGCCCGCGGCGCGGCCCCGCGGCCGCCCGACGCCGCGCTGGGCCCCGAGTGCGCGGGCGGCGGGCCGCTGGACTTCCTCGCCGCGGGCCCTGCGCCGTGCCGCGGACCTAGCGCTGCCCTGGATCGGCTCGCGCGCGGCGGCCGCCTCGCGCGCGGCAGCCGTGTGGCGAGGGACAGGTCGCGCGAAGCGCGGCTGGCGGCCGCCCCGGTCGGTTGGGCTCGCCGTCGCCGCCAGCGGGCCGCGGCGACCGCTCGTGGGAGCTGCTCGGTCGGTGCGCGGTGCCGCGCGCTTCGCGCATACATGGGGCCCTACCTCTGGCAGCCATGGCTCAGGGGGGGAAAAACACACACAGACAGACACATACACATACACATTCAGACACAAATAATCGTCGATTCCAATGTAAATATGGAACAGAAATTGGGAAGTGGAGGGGCAGACGACCATCCAGAACAGATGGAACATCTTGCGAATCCTGGGACTTGTGTGTCTGTAGTCGCGCGCCCACAAGGAATCGCCGATCCCAGCGAACACCTGAAGAACAAGAGGTGAAAAGTGGAGGGGAAAAGACGCAGGCATCCAGAACGCATGGAGCGTCCTCTGCGAGCCCTGGGACCCGTGCCTGCTTGCTCGTGCGCGCCCCTCCCTCTGCCCCCCTCCCTGGGCCCCCTCCGGTGGCCGCCCTTCGCGGCCGCGAGCCGAGCGGCCGAGGCCGCCAGAGCCTCGTGGCCGAGCCGCGGGCCGCCGCCGCGTGGGCCCACGGCGGCGCCCCCGCGCTGCGCGGCCGCGCGGCCGCCGGCCCCAGCCGGCAGCCGGCGCCGAGCCCCAGGGGAGGTCGCCACGGTCGGGGCCATCGCTCAAGCATCTGCACGCACGAAATGGGTACGGAAAGAATGGGCACAATGCCCAACGGCAGTTCCTGATCATTTTGAGCAGGACTCGCTGTCCGCGCCGCCGCGGCCTGTGTCCATTTGAGACAGAAGGCCGCCTGCCCAACAGCGGCCGCTGTTGGTTTGGGGCAACATTTGCTGTTGGGCATTGTACCCATTTTTTCGGTACCCACTTCGGGCGTCCAAAAAGCAGTGGCGAAGCGTCCTGGCTCGCCTATAGACCTACCAAACAATGTTCGAATAACCAGTTGTGGCTTCCACGAAATGGTCTTAGAACAGTTCTGGCTGGGACTGCTTTCTTTTTGCACATCGGGCTTATGTTCGAAGGCCATTGTTTTTGTATGCAGAGCATTTGGGGGGTTCTACGAACATTCCGTGATAGGACTATAGGAATGCCGGGACGGTCGGTCCCTGCTCAAATCGCCGCGGGGGGGATCGGGGGCGAGCGAGGGGGGGAGTGGGAATTGAGAGGAGGAGGAGGAGGCCTCCAAGGCCGCTCTCCAGACCTGGTTAGGCCTTCCTGGACTGCGGGGGACCTCGACCGGAATTGAAAGACGTCGAGGTCCCTGGTGCTATTCGTAAGCCCTCCCGGAAGAAGGTCGGGCTGGACGAAAGGGGGGGATTGGGAAAGGGGGGGTTACGAAATCTGCTGCACGCAGTTGGTTTCGGCCCCATTGCACCGAGGGGCCCATTACTCGATAATGGCCGCCTCCCGGCGCCGGGAAAATCAGCTCCGTGAGCTGATTCTCAACCCCCCCCTTTGCTATCCCCCCCTTTCGCCCGGTCCGAGAAGGCCAGGGAAGGCGGCGGGGCCTCTCAGAGGCCCGCGCGGCCTCTGCGAGGGAGAGGTGGTCCGTGCCTGCCAGGGTCGGCCTCCGCGGGCGTCGGCCCCCGCAGGCAGCTGGCGTCCGGCCCCAGAGGAAGGCGTCGCAGTCGGGGCCATCGCCGGGGGGGGGATCGGCGGCGAGCGAGCGAGGGGGGGGAAGTCCGGGGGTTCACAGAGGGAGGGTTCATCCCAAAGTGGGGCTGGAGAACGGACCCAGCTGGGTGCTCCCGTTCATTGTGCTTCCTTCCTCCAGGGGCCGTTCGGAGCGATGTTTTCTCCAACCCCACCTCTGCCCCCAGCCCACCTTTTGTGCCCCACCGAGGGAAGTGAGAAGGGGAGGAGGCCTTCCCAGAAGGCGGCGGGACCTCTCAGAAGCCCTCGTGCCTCCTGAGAGGTTTTTTCTGTTTCTTCGGGGGGCGGTTTGGAAAAAACTTCTCGGAAGGTCGGGGGGGACTTCCGAGCTTTCTGAGAAGGCCCGCCCCTTCTCAATTTCCCCGCAGGGCTCGCCGCCGAGAGGAGTCGGGCAATCTGAGATTCAGCCTCGCTGGAGGAATCATGCCCCTATGATCTTGATGCCATTGCAAGAGATTGCGTTATGCGGCAATTTCCCTCTGCCGGTTCTGTAATTAGAACTTCGATTGAGGTCAGCTACAAATCGCTACAATTGCTGCGTACCGAAGTGAAGGAACGTGCAGTTGCACAACTAGGGGGGGGCAGACGATTAGCTTGTAGGGGCAGCGCGTGAGAGCGCCCCGAAAGCCTTTGAGTTGGACTCCTTGCTTCGCCGTGGCGACGAGGAGGCGCAGACCATTCAGGAGCTGCTCCTTCTCTTCCTCCTCCTCCTCCGCCTCCTCATCCTCCTCCTCTTCCTTCTCCTCCTTCTCCTCCTCCTCATCATCATCACCATCATCATCATCATCATCATCATCTTCATCATCATCTTCATCATCTTCATCATCCCCCAGCACTCCTGCGTGGGGTTTTCGCTTTGCGCAGATCCAACCTCCTCCTCTTCCTCCTCCTCCACCTCGCACCTCCTCTCACTCCTCCTCCTCCTCCTCTTCCTTCTCCTCCTCCTCCTCTTCCTCTCCTCCTCCTCCTCCTCCTCTTCCTCATCCTCCTCTGTTGAAATGCACTACGATCGTTCCCTCTTTTCTATGTTGGCCCTGGCGGGCCCCTAATGTAGTTAGGCCCCGAGGGCCTAGTGATGTGTGTCGGGCCTGAGGAGGCCCCGATAGCCAGCTGCCGCCGTTGACGCGCCTCGTTCCATGACCGTTTTGGCTCCGAAGAGGACTTGGGCGCGCAGGTTCACACCTGAAAAATCTTCGACGGCGGCGTCCGTCACTTGATGGTAGCGGAGCTGGCCGACTCGCCCTCGGTCAGCTCCTGCCTCCGCCGCGGCAGCGCGGAGGTGAACACGATCACGCCCCTGGCAAGGGTGGTGGCCGTCCAGCGGGGAGCTGGAGGGCATCCACGGCAAGGAGGTTGGCGGCTCCTCATCGCGCTGGGCCTGGATGGCTTGGCACACACCGGCAGCAGCGAGCCTGACACGTTCAACGTGTGCAACACCGGCAGCGGCGAGCCTGACCAGCTCGACATGTGCATCAGTGCGACCGGAGCTATCGACGTGCTCAACGTCCAGATGGCGAAGGTCAGCAAGCTGTAGCTCGAGAAGGACATCCCGCTCTTCGAGGAGTACCAAGAGAGAGCTCGTGACGCCTACTTCGGTCGCATGGGCGACGAGAAGCAGATCGCGACGCCGATCAACCTACGCAACGGTCTCAGTGGGACGGCCTACGACGCGGTGCGAGGCTTGTCCCACACGCAGCTGCTGACCTTCGACCTCGAAGTGGTCGAAGGCGGCAAGGGCGGCGCGAGCTACGAGAAGAAGCGCGCCAACACGATTGGACTCGAGCTGCTACTGACGACGCTGGGAGAGTCTGTGATGAAGGAGCGACCTGTCAGGGCGGCGGAGCTGTTCGATGGTGCGCCGCGCGACAAGACAGTCTGGAGGGCCGCGGGCGACAGCATGCAGGAGTGCATCACGAGACGCTCGAAGGCGTCCGAGGACCTCAAAAAGGCAAGCGAGAATCCGACGATCAGCGACGACCTTCAGGCGCACCTGCTGCTGAAGTTCCCAGGGGTCGAGAAGAGCGATCACGCCAGCATCATCAGTTCGGCGGGCAATCAGTGCAGCAAGGAGGCGTTCGCCAAGGCCCTGAGGACGCAGCGCCCGAACATCCATGAGCGCGAGCACAGGAAGAATAACGAACAATGCGGATATGCTCGCCCACGACGGTTCGGGGGGCGTCAGCATCAGTTTCGGACTCAGGCGCGGCAGGTTGGCATCGAGGAGGGCGACGAGGAAGACGATGGGGAGGGCGCGGCCTCCTGCGTCGCGTCGGAGCCCGAGGTCTACTTAGGCGAAGACGAGGCCAGCCTGGAGGAGCTTGACCAGATGGGCGACGAGGCGCTGGAGAGCGTCGCGGCCATTGTGCAGCACAAGCAGAAGTTTCAGGCGAAGGGGCGCGGCAAGGGCCGCGGCAGGAGCAATTCACGCACGGCGGGCGCGTCGGGGAGCTCACGAGACTGACCTCGCAGCCGCGGCGGCAAGGGCGGCGACAACCCGGAGAGGAGGTCCAGGACTGAGAAGCTGAAGCGGACTACGCGGCGTGCGAGCTGCGGCCAGATCGGGCACTGGCACGGTGACTCCGCCTGCCCGAAGTCTACCAAGGCGGCGCCGCCGCCATCGGACCACCCCAAGTCGAGCTACTTTGGCTTCAGCGACGTCGAGGACGAGATGGCCAGCGGCGGCGACGTCAGGATCGCCGAGGTGTTCGTGGTGGGAGCGTCCTCGACCTCGGCGGAACTCAGCTTCGGGCTCGGAGCCCGGGCGAAGGCCAGGCCCAAGAAGGCCACGGGACAGCGCGCACGGCGGCGACGGGGCGCTCGAGGCCAGCGCTGACGACGGCGACGGGGCGGCTGGACTACCACGACGGCGAAGACGTTCCCTGCCCGTCATGGGCCACCCCGGCGAGCGCGCGCTGAGGGCGGACGCCGGGCTGTTCAATTGCGCAAGCGGAACCCACCGGCACTTGACGCGCCATCAGCGTCTGCCGAGCCAGCTCGGCATTCACGTGGTCCGGGCGCACCGTGCCAACGGGGGGCAGCTCTGGAAGTACATCGTGGCGTCGCTGCTGTTCACCCCGAAGGGCAGGGCCATCTTCCGACGGAGTCCACGTTGCATGGGAAGGTGAGGTCGCCAGGTCGCCCGACAGAGTCTGCAGGGCCGCGAAGAACCGACCGATGGCGAGGCGCGCGGCGGCGGAGATGATGACCAAGAAGGCACGCGAGGAGAAGATGTCATTCGACGACGAGGAGCTGGACGAGATTCCGACCGCCGAGGAGCACCCGCACGATGAAGACCATCTTGAGGAGCACGCGTTCGCGGCGTACCCGGCGGACTTCGACCAGGACGTCGAGGGCCTGGACATG